GTGCTCCCTCCTCAGGGCAGGAGGGGAGCCACACCGACTCACTACACCACCAAATTACTGGTCTCCCTGTGTCCTGAACCCATGCTACAGGTCAACGCCACGCACCCAGACAAGGAACTCTTCTGAGGTCGAAACAGGTAGAGCGGTTGTCGCATTGGGGCAGGGCACAGGCACCCACCTGCCCCAGTGACTGGGGCAAAGACATTGTGGACACCAGAGCTACAGGCTTGGTCATCCCCAAGCCTAGGATTGCCAACTTTATAATTGCACAAAACCAAACACCCTTGCCCCGCCCCTTCTCTAAGCCCCCCCCACTCACTCCAGCCCCCACCTCAGTCACTCGCTCTTTCCCACCCTCATTCATTTTCACTAGGCTGAGGCAGGGGGTTGGAGTGAGGGAGGGGGTGAGGGCTCCAGGGTGGGGGCAGAAATGAGGGATTCATAGTGCAGGAAGGGGCTCCGGGCTGGGGTAGGAGGTTGGGGTGTGGGCTTTGGGGTTGGGCTGGGCCTTAGGAGTGCGGGAGGGGGCTCCGGGCTGGGGGAAGGAAGTTCGGGGTGTAGGCTCCAGGAGAGAGTTTGGCTGTGGGAGGGGGCTCAGAGCTGGGATAGGGGATTGGGGTCCAGGCTCAGGGAGGGAGTTTGGGTGCGGGTGGAAGTTCTGACCTGGGGCAGGGGTGTGGGCTCCGGGAGGGAGCTGAAGCAGCTGGTTGCAGTGCAGGGTCTGGGAGGGAATTTGGGTGTGGATGGGGGTTCTGACCTGGGGCAGCGGGTTGGGGTGCAGGCTCCTGGAGGGGGCTCAGGGCTGGGGCAGGGTGTTGGGGTGCAGGTTGGGGTTCCAAACTGGAGCAGGGAATTGGGGTGCAGACTCCAGCCAGGCTGCTCTTACCTCAGGTGGTTCCCAGTCCCAGGTTCCCTGCCTGCCCTGGCTCCACTACTCTTGGAAGCGACCGGCACGTCCGGTCCCTGGCAGAGGGGCCAGGGAGCTCTGCACTGTTCCTAGCCAATGAGAGCTGTGGAGCCGGCGCTGGGGGCAGCACAGGAAGCTTCCCTGATCGTCCCAGTCCCTGCGCCTAGGGGCCAGAGGGAAATACTGGCCACTTGCAGGAGCTGCGCCAAGCCAAGGAGCCTGCCTTAGCCCCACTGGGGTTTTAGCAGCCCAGTCAGGGGTGCTGACCAGAGCTGCCAGGGTCCCTTTTTAACCAGCCGTTCTGATAAAAAAAACCAGCCACCTGTCCCCTCCACCCAAGCCAGCACCACGTTTAGTCCCCAAAAGTGAGGGACGCCACCTGTGGGGCTCTTGTTTTTTAGAACAAGCTACTACAAAAGCTCAGTTATTTTTAATGAAAAAAAAAAACAAGAAAATAAGTCATAAAAATGGACAGCAAGGCAACAAACCCTAACGCACGCGCCGCTCAGGACAACAGCTACAACTGCTTAGAACCATCACGCTTCTATTTATAGCTCCCTCTCAGCCCGCCCTACCTGCGCTTCCCCCTAGCGTCACTTCCGGAGCAGTCCAAAATGGCGGCTGGGGTGGGTGACAGGGACCCGCTGCTACGGCTGAGACGCCACCTGAGGGAGGAGGTAGAGCCCCAGGCACTGCTGCTACAGCCTCCCCCTGGTAGGTGATTCCTGGAGCCTGTGGGGACCCCCCCCTTTAGCGCGGGGCGGTGCGTGACCGCTGCCTGGGTGCAGTACGGCGCCTCCCCCTCTCCCCACGACCTTGGGAGAAGAGGGCAGGCCAGGGCCCGCGCGCCCCTGTCCCAAGTACCTTCGAGCGGGAGCAGCGGTGTCTGCTGCGGGCGGGCGGGGGGCGGCTCCCCTCTGGAATCCGGTACGTGCGGGGAGGTGGCCAGTGCCGACCATCCAGCGGCTTTTCTTCGAGCGTGCTGTGCCTGCCGGGCCTTCCTGGAGAAGCCAAAGGAGACAGGCAGCGAGAAGGAGCCTCAGGGCTGATCTGGGGAGGGAGACGGTCACTCTGGGGCCGCCGGTGGCTGAGGTAGATGTATGGTCTAGGGGAGAAATTGCGCCAGTTCTAGGAGTCTTACCCTGGAGGCAGCTTCTTCTAAGCCTGCTCTATACTTACATTTTAAGTGTGTCGTTTAAAGGTTTTTAATTGAAGTAGTTAACACCAGTAAAACCCTGGTGTGGCCACTATTATACCAGTATAAATGTGGCTCATGCCAGTGCAGTTGTTACCCTTCCCATAGGGGAATAAATGGTTGCAGCATACCCTGCTATAACTACATCCATGGTAGGGGTGTGTGTGCAGTGCGAGCAGGTGGTATCTTGAACTACACTTTCTCATGTGGACAAGCCCCTTGTGTGAGTTCCAATAGCTGGCCCTGTCTGTGAGGGTATATATTCTCTGCCCCTTATGCCAGCCCGATCCCCTCCCCCAACAGAGACGACAGCTGAGGAGAGCTTATCAGTACTTTGTTCTTGTTAATTTTTAGGGGTGTCAGACAACAGGTTGCAGTGATTTATTCATTATGAAGCTATTACAGTGTTAATAAGAGAAGGGAGGGTAGGGGGAAGAACTGTACAAAAAGGGGAGGAAGAAAAAAATCAAAGAGGTCTCACACCCTTGTTGTATAGCAGGGGTTCCCAAACTTGGTTCGCGGCTTGTTCAGGGTAAGTCCCTGGTGGGCTGCAAGATGCTTTGTTTACCTGAGCATCCGCAGGTATGGCCGTTCGCAGCTCCCAGTGGCTGCGGTTCACTGTTCCCAGTCAATGGGAGTTGCGAGCAGCCATACCTGCAGATGCTCAGGTAAACAAAGCGTCTCGCGGCCGCCAGGGGCTTACCCTGAACAAGCTGCAAACCAGGTTTGGGAACCCCTGTTGTAGAGGATCTCAGGAATACAAGAATAAGATCTCAAAGCAGTTTTTGTAGGCAGCATAAAGGCCCTCGAACTGTGGACCAAAGGGGTTGAGACAAAGGGAGGTTCCAAAGTGGTAAGTTTGCTAAAACTATTACTACTAAATTTACCTAATTATTATGCAAATCACAGAAAAATGTAAAGTGAAGTGATATATATTACCATGGCAAGGGTGTTACTAACTGTTTAGTACTAGGGAACAGAGAAAGGCAAATCCAGAGAGCAGTTACAAGTAATGTGCTTGTCATAATAAAGGAGGCTTAAAATATGTGAAATATTCAAATATTTCCACAGGTATTCCCATCAATTTAGTTTAGTTTATTCTAACAGTGTATGTCTTTTGTTTAATGAGTTGGTCTTTCAACATCGCAGGTAAAAGAACATACATCCTTGCCTTCAAAACTGCATGCTCCTTTACCCTCATATTGATTCTGTCTGCTCTGAAATTTGTAAGGCGCTCAGATCTTACAGTGAAAATTCTAGAAAAATCTACATTTCCATGTAATCACTTTTTTACAGTAACTTAAGTACAGTTAATATCCTCTGCATATCAAGCTACCTCCTGAAATTGAAACTTGGCATGTGACATTGGTAGGAAGCAGGGCCGGTGCCAGGATATTTTGCACCTACAGTATATTTACAGTCCAAAATTTAATAAGACATTCGCAGCCAGTGTCTTAACAATATTTCCTATCACTGTGATGTGTAGACTACCAGTACCTTTCAAAACACCTAAACAAATGCAAGATTGGGTGAGCAGCTAGGACAAGTATTTCATAGGCTTCTACATGTCCATGTAAAGAAGAGCTCTTTTGCAGTTGGGCAAGACCCTGGCCTCAATGAATTTGTCCCAAGTGGATATACAGAGTATTTATAATAGCTCAGTGTCTGTCAACATAAGCTAGCCTTCAAGTTTTGGTAAATCAGGTATTCTAACCAATTAGAATTCCAGACCCAGTTCAAGGAGATGGCTTGGAGTTCCCACCTACTAAGACTAAGTGCAGTATTCAAAAGTTATAAGCCCGTTATATTAATTTAGGACTATATGGGCCCAAAGAGTTAAATGTGTTAGCATAACCCTGAAACTGTCCAACACTAAACAAGATTCAGGGTTTGGTATCCCTTAGCCTGCTTAGAACCATGGCACTATTAAAAATCTATTACCCTTTAATGAAAGTACAGTGAAGATAGTCAAAGCATTTAAAATGTAGAGTATTAATAAGGGGTTCATTTTAACAACCTTTTTTCCCTTTCCATTTAGCAGGAGAGAGCTTTTAGAAAGATCTCTCTCACCCCAAATTATTTTTTTGGTGACAGTCTCCCTCCTGGTATTACAGATGGCCATTACTGTCCTTTTTGGGGAAAAGAGGTTAGTTGAGATGGGCTGGAGCTGCTGCAGCTAAACTCTAATTGTGTTTCCTAAAAGGCGCCACAGACACACACACACCCACCCCGTGACAGCTAAGACAGATGTTTTAGACAGAAGATAGGAGGAGAGGGTACAAAAGAGAAGAAATAAAGCAACGCTTGCATGCACATATGAGAGACAGACATCACCCCTCCTCCCCAAGTGGTGGTAGGATTTAGCGGAAGCAGGTAGGTGTGGAGATGTCTTGTGTCCCTCTCTCTGGCCCAGACTGCTCAGAACATCTCTCAGGATTAGGATAAAGATCTGGTGTCCCAGGAAATGGTGGTAGTGGCAGCAATGATGGGGAAGCTCGCTCCTTCCTCTTCTCTTGTTTTTCAGTCAGCCAGCCAGCATTTCCCTCAAAGTTGCTTTTTGAAGCCCTCAAAAGGGAGTTATGTGTGAAATACTAACCAGATAGGCCTAATTTTCAACACACCAATTTCAGTTCATTGATTTCTGGTCCCACACTTGTTTGTCAGGTATGATCTTAACACAGTCCTTGAGTTATATCAGTAGGCTTCTTTGTTTGGATTAATTTCATCTGCTCCCCCAACATTTGTTGTAGGTTATTACAGGGGTCGGCAACTTTTCAGAAGTGGTGTGCCGAGTCTTCATTTATTCACTCTAATTTAAGGTTTCACGTGCCAGCAATACATTTTAACGTTTTTAGAAGGTCTCTTTCTATAAGTCTCTAATATATAACTAAGCTATTGTATGTAAAGTAAATAAGGTATTTAAAATTAAATTAAAATGCACAGCCCCCCAGACCAGTGGCCAGGACCCACGCAGTGTGAGTGCCACTGAAAATCAGCTTGCGTGCCGCCTTTGGCACCCGTGCCATAGGTTGCCTACCCCTGGGTTATTATAACACTTTATGAACTTTCACTTATTTTACAGTTGAGCTCATAATTAGGGTAAATTCATAGGGCCCAATTATTACAACATACCTGCTTCACAATTTGACATGTTAATGGTGTTAGAGAACACAGTAATCAGATTGTTTAAGCAATTAGGTATTGAAAATGAATCAGTCATCTGTATATAAACTTTATTAAAAGCTTCCAGTCAGAACAGCTTTGTAAAATTAAGTGTGCTGCTAATGTTTTATTAATGCAAACATACAATTTAAGATGGAAAGTAACCAATTTATGTGTTTGATGTATACAATGACAGAACTACTATACCTGAGCAATAATATATTTGAGGCATCATGATAAACAAAATACATCTCAAATTTACGTATATACACATGCAGAAACTGTAGGAATTTTTTAAACAAAAAAAGTTGAAAACCCTGAGCCTGTGGAAAGTCTCCCTTTTGTTATTTGAGAATATTTCTCGCTCTCATTAGATCTGAAAGGTTAGAATTAAAAGAGACTTACTCAAGGATCAACTTATTGTACCAGCTAGTTCAAATAATACAAATATAATTTTAATTTGATGGGTCACTTACGTTGCATGCTTTCAGTCAGGGCCGGTGCAAGGATATTTTGCCCACTAGGCGAAACTTCCACCTTGCGCCCCCCCCCGTCCTCCTCCCCTTCCCCTGGAGCATCGCTTATTATAAACTTTCAAAAATGAACACTGCATTGTTCATTAGAATTAACACATGTTTGGCTTGAAAATTTATTAATTTCATTATTTAGTCTACATATCTATCTGCCATGAGGCTGCATCAACTGAAAATGAAAAAAAAATGAAATTTTATTCCTATCAGTTCTTTTTCTTGTTCACTATTAAAAGTAAAGGATAGAGAATACATGTCACTTACTAACTATGAGTCACTATTTGAATTTCATCAAATGTTTGACGTAAACATTGATTAAGAGATCAAGATGACTTTTCCTTAAAATTAAGCAATGTTGATTGTAATCGGAAATACACCCTTTTTAGTCACATATACTTCCTTCCTTCCTTCTTTCATATCAAAATCTACTACATTTTATTCTACCTTTAGAATATCCAATTATTGTTATTAATAAAATTTATAAAATTAGAATGGCGGATACTCCGTCATACAACAACAACTGACAATATCAATATGACAGATTTCAACAACCTACACACACATATTCACACGTGATAAACATATACACCTCTAACCCGATATAACGCTGTCCTCGGGAGCCAAAAAATCTTACTGCGTTATAGGTGAAAACGCGTTATATCGAACTTGCTTTGATCTGCCGGAGTGCGCAGCCCCACCCCCCTGGAGCGCTGCTTTACCGCGTTATATCAGGTCACGTTATATAGGGGTAGAGGTGTACACTCAAATACTTAACATACACAATTGACAGAAAGTATTAGTGAAATGATGCAGCAGCAATTGCCAGA